TAATATAATATATAATTAATAAATTGTAATTTTTTTATTATAAACGCATTTAAAAATGCAACTTCTAGATAATCCGCATTAACAACTATTAGACTGTCTATAATAGTGTTAGTTATGAATTAGTTAAAGCTATAAATAGCTTTAGATATCCAGCTTTTCTGGTAACTTTCTTCTTTTAATAAAATTCTTCTTCTTTCTCAAGAAGCTCGACTCTCTCTATCCACTGGAGATTCTATAGCTTAGAATACCATGAATAGGTGTTGCTAAGATGTGGGCTGAAAGTGTTGAAGTTCATGATGGAACTATTCAACTAGACAGCCCGAATCCCCAATCTGAGTTTAGAAATTGGACTGATCTTTTGATGCCACGAAACGGGATTTTTTTTCCTAACTTAATATTTTTCGTTGATATTTATTAATGATTTCAGGAAATGGATTCTTTGTTCGGAAGATTTAGGGGAGCGAAGAGAAGGAAGTCAACAATAGGGTGTTCAATTTTTTAGGTTTGTACAAGTAATATAATGGACTAAAAGTCCGAGTATCAATCCCACAGAGAATATTCAATTATTAATTCTAGACGCTAAATTCTACCAATTATGATCAAGCCCACCCTACATTGTCAAAAGTTAAGGAAATAGACTAAATTAAAAGTAAAACAATTAAAGCAATTTAAACAATAAAAAGCAACGAAAGCAATTAAACACGAACATTAATCAGAGAAAACAAGCATATGATTTTATTCTCCCCCTATGTGATTATTAATTCCCAAATTCCTTCTTATGCAAGTTATCAAATCGGATTACTCACCTGGGATGCTAAATTAATCATAACCCGCTTCTGCGTGTATTACGATTCTAATACTCTAAATTCAATTATATTATTGTATTCCTACGCAATTAATTCTAGAACACAGCATGAACCACAAATCACTATAATGGCTACCTAAGAGATTCACTATATTCCTATGTTAATGCCACAAAGGCTCTTCTACCACCGTTCTAATTATTAACCCAATCTTCCGATTCATGCGATTAATAATAACATAAAAGCACATAAAGTGGTCACTTTCACGCACTTAATAAAACAAGTAGAAGAAATAATCCGAAATTAAAACTTGCATAAAATCATAGAATTGGGTTCATAAATCCCACATAGGGTTCCAAATAAATGTTGGGAATCAGGCATGTGTACGCAGCATAAAACAAAATTTTTTATATAAAAAACGATTTCATTCATATAAACACGTACTCGACAATTGTAACTAATTACGTACCTTAACGCTTCCAGTGAAATTTAAACTACATCATGCATATTAATTCGATAATTAAAACATGTCGCATGCTCGCAGTAAATGATAATACATATACAAACGATTTCACCAAAACGTTCACGCAAAACCATACATAAAAAATTTCACAAAAACATTCAAGCAAAATCATACTGCGAATATCAATGTTTAATTTAATCTAATTAAATTAAAACCTAATACATACGGATCCAAAAATTTACCTCTTGAAACGTGAGGCGAGTTCTCGGATTGAAGTAAACTGCCACGGAAACCAATCCGTGGAGTCGGGAGGAGCAGCGGCGGCGGACGCGTGAGATTCACGCGCTGTCTTCGGGTGGCGCGTGAGGGTGCGTGCGATGGTGGTTCAGCGGCGGCGCCCCGGCAGATTGATTCATTTTTCTTTCTCCTCTCAGATTTCACCTCGTATACCAATTTCTACTAAATACGTGGCACTAGACACGCAAAAGTTAGAATAAATGGAAGAATAAAACAAAAGGAATAGAACTACCAATAATTATCGGCGCGTGGGGCATCGATTTCCGACGACGGGGCGGCGACGGCGGAGGAGAGGTAGCGGCCGTTAGGTGAGGTGAGCGGCCAGGGTTTTGTGATGTGTGTTGTGTGTTTTGCAAGACCTATAAATCTTGTATTTATAGTGTCCTGTATAAAAACCCTAACGGGCTTAAGTTGGACCGTGCCCAACAGCTTAAGTTCATTAGTCTTTCTTCGCTCGTTTCTCACAACTCAATGATTGGAAAATTATAACAATTATATTTTCGGAATCATTGAACCTCGTCATTACACATGCCAATTCTCGATTTCCAATTTCTAAAAGTGGAAACCCTAATTCAGTGGACCTTCTCAATTTGGAAACTTCCCAATTTAGAAAGTTCACTAAGATGTTCGCCTAGTTCTTTCCTTTTCTTATGCTTATTCACAATTCCAAATTACGAATGTTGGACTCAATCTTATCGACTTCCAATTATGCAAAGATTAAACATTTTAACTTTAACCGTCTATACAAAGAACTCGAGTGCACGAGCAGTGTG